ATATCTGTAATTAAGAGCATTTTGAATTCTGTACTTGTTGTTCTCAGTGAGTAATCGTTTAAGCCTAGTTGGTCCACACGACTAACGCAGATGCAATCGCAATTGCAAGAAACGCAAGAAGGTTTCATTTCTTGCGTTTACATTTGATTTTGCGCTTTTCTTTGCGTTATTGTTAAAGTTTGTTTAATTTTTAAGGTTACACTTGGCATTTCCACACTGCTGTTGTATGTCCCGACTCACCTCGCAGCTACACATCAAGCAGGCTCATTAACTCTTCTTTCCATCGCCATATGGTTGACTAACGCACTGAGGAAACCAAAACTTATCTAGTATTGTGGGGAGTCGTTTTGTTGGTTGCACTTTTGTGCGCTCGCGTAAGTACGCAGAACGCAATACAGCAGACGAAATAACGGGAAAACTGCTTTTTTCGGCGGTGATATGAGTCTGACCAAGAGAGAATGACGATATCGTCGAAAGAGTAAATATTTGAGAAAGGCACATACTTGTCATGAACTATATCGTTATGATGATCAGTAAATTATGGTTAGCCAGACACAGAGAAGATGAACGCGTTATGAAATGACGGTATCTTGTAATTCATTTTCGGAAAATGTGATAACATTTGAATTGTAAAGATGATGTTTTTTCGCGTTTATAGAGTAATTTTCTTAAAAAGGACACGCCTTGCGTAACACAGGGGTGTGCACCCGACGCCCAATTTTGMAAAGGATGGAATGCACTCATGAACAAAGTAAAAAACCTCTACTATTCAAATGGATTTATTTTCCAATATATTTTGTCAGTTATCAATCATTTGGGAGAGATTTCCCTTTCTGCGTCACTCKCAACACCGCTACACCCCTTACGTTGCGCTGGCTTTGTGTGACGTCATAAATTTAAAGTTTTTTTGCGAATAAAGATTATCTTATAGCTGTATCAAGTGATAACATAAAAGTAAAAAAAACCTGAACTGGATCGATCAGGTGTTCAAATAACCGTGAAGAAGCAGGTTATTGGCTTGAGTGAGTTTTTGGACATGTAAAATCCCAACAAAATAGATAAGAATATTATTGCATGTGTTTAAAGGCAAGATGTAAAAGCTTGATTCTCTTCTGTATTATGCGACTTCATTAAATCTTGTTTAAATTTTTTTGGGTCATTTGATCAGTAAATCAGAAAGGGAAGGGGTCGAAGGGGGATTACTTAGACCTTCTTTGATTACACATTGCTATTGGCTGGACAATGTATAGCGACTTTTGATTGGTTAAAACTAACTGAATATGATCACATGACTTCAATATTTTGAAAAGACCGCAAACTAACACCAAGTGTGTTTGCACGTTCAGCAGCGAGTGAGGAGGCGAATGTGGACCAACTAAAATTTTGTAATAGCAATTTAAGAGTAAATTACCTGTTAGAATTTAATAGAAAAACATGTCTGAGGAAAGTCCAAGGACCGAAAGGGTAAGTTAAACCACAAGAAGCTAAATATAGCTTTGTTCATAATCACAAGTTTGCAAAACTGCTCTACAAGGGTCCTCTATCACGCTTTGCTCTTGCAGGTTGAAAAGGTCGGAGATTTCACAGTTTATATCTCGGTAAGCACATAGGYGATTATTTGTGAACTCAGACTTTCATTTTAATTAGGAGTTTTGATAAAAAGTAAGCTTTACAGCTACAGATATAAATGGTAATGAGGTTGCTAGTTTCCTACACAACAACAACGCTCTTCACTTTGACGATGGTGCAATAACTTAATTTTCTTGCCGTTTTCAGGGCGAAGAGGCAAAATCGGAAGACAAGGAAAATGCGAAAAAGAAGGAGACATTATTGACGTTCCATGACATTGGAATGAATCGTAAGTCAATGTTGTTTTGGATTTGTTTTTACTTTCAGTGTGTGATCTTGTACCATAACCGTGTGTCCATCTTGCGAACATGTGACGATCTCTCCTCTAGACATTTTCTTTCACGATTAATGATCTTACCGTCATGTGTACAGAGGACAATTTATAGTCCTTTTCAAGTATATTAACTATGTATTAGTCCTATTAGGTTATCACTTGCTTTAACACATTGGCTTTGTCTTAATCGAATAGAAATACCGACTGGAAGTGCCCGTTAAGGTCCCCTGTAAACTGACGCTCGCTCTTTCTTTACTTGAACCAGCACGTGTCTATGATTTCTCAGATTTTGCTGACGGTGGGCGTTCACCGTAGTTTGATCCTTCATCTTTTGGTATTTCTATATTTAATATTTTAATTTATYATGGGTTGTTTTGTCGAGTTCATGTGGGATATTTGAAGGCAGCTGCAGCAGTGGCAGTGTATCAAAATCCTGAGCGAAATTTACATGATATTAAAATTCATGACAGGTTTACTTGCCATAACATTGAGTATATATGATGGCTGACTCCTGACCTTATATATGTCGAGCTTATGTCCAACTCGAACAGAGTTTTGAATGGTTATATTCAGATCGAAAGTTAAATTCGTCTTTCGAAAGGTTAAAAAGTGGATTTATAATCAGAATATGTTGTCGATTTTAACGGTACATTACAACAAAGCTCTGCTCGTGACCAAACGTATTGATATTGTTATGAAAAACATGTTGATTTTCTTTATATTTTAAAACAATGCGACTTGCTAGCAGCCTTTGTAGCATCAATGGCTAAGATATTAAGCTTAGAAGTTGTTGTAATTATACTTCAAGAGAATGCTTGGTGATGATAGAGTAATTTAATACAGTAAAGCCTATGACCTGGTCTTATATCAATTGTTTTTAATGCATTATTACGTAATGTAATTCTGGAGAAAAGGGGATAAAACTCAGCTCCAAACAAGATGTACTATTTGCTATTTTCCAACCCCACCCCCATCCCTCCCCCAAACAAAAATGCACTCTTTCCTGCTTGAATGATTCTTATGAAAACTATGCATATTATCTAATATGAGGCAAATATATCATATCTTCTTGGACACAAATTGGATCTTACTTGATTCAAGGTTTAACTAAAATATTGGCTCTGATTTTTTTAAATAAAATCAAACAATTTACTCCTGAATTTCTATATTTTCTTAGACATTTCTTAATTATAATTTTTCTTGGTTTCCCTCCACATTATCTGGGGCTCATTTTCTTGCTAAACTACATTTTGCRGGTTTTGATTTTCAATTCAAGTATTTATTTTATGGAAGTCTAGGTTTCTACAATGGTATCCTGCAGTGATTGATTTGAATTAAAAACATGCATAAATTTACTAAATTAGTTTTAAGTCTATTAATTTTTTTTACAATTGTTCATTAGAACAGATTGTTTTTTTTTTTACCATTATTCTTACTATTAAAAGAACCTTATTTTCTTAGATAAAACATGTTTTGAAAAGTTCTTAAACCATGAAGACATTAAATGCCTGCACGAGAGATTTGTGATGTACCACATTGATGCTCCTGGCCAGGTAATAACTTAATGCATTTGACAGTGTTCATTTCCAGATATGGTATATCTTTGTTGATCATTTATGGGACATTTTGTCAGGTTGATATTCCCAATAATGCACACACTAGTATGTCTGGCTTTTGTGTCGTCTTTTCTTCATTTTCATGGAGTTCAAATGCTCATATCTTTGTCCAGAATTATCAGAGGTTTTTTACAGCATTGTGATATGTCCAAGTGYACATATATTATGGTGTTCAAAATGCATGTATTTTTCTAATATTTGTTMTGTATTTCTTTTAGGAAACTGGAGCAGAAAACCTATCCAATGAGTAAGTTTTTAAGTTAAAAGTGAATAGTCAAGATCTATATTTGAATATTATTGGGAATATGAATGCACCCAGATTGCACACTCTGCATGCATCTTTAAAAATATATTACGTATTGCAGTAAATTCATATTTTTGATAATTTTTAATACAAAAAGTAGCAAATATTAATATAACTGTTATAATTTTTCATCATCAGTTTCCAGTATCCAAGCATGAAAGCCCTTTCAGACATGGTTGGCAATGTTATTGATCATTTTGCGTAAGTAAAGTACACGTTTAGAACAAGGAATGTTTCCCATTATACCTGGCTTAAAATCTATCTTCAGTTCATGAAAAGTAATTTAATTTGTAGTTTTCTCCTGGCCTTGTCTATTTTTATTATGTTTTCTAATATTTTTGTTCTATTAATTACAAATATGATCCTAAACACATTCGTATTACAGAGATAGTACATAAATAAATATGTCGCTAGTAATTATCCATTTCCATAATTATTTACAAGTTTTTATGTATATTAAAAAATATTTTTCTATTTTGTAAWCCCTAGGTTACATGACATAGTGTGCTTTGGAGTTGGAGCAGGTGCTAACATCCTTTGTCGATTGGCAGTAAGTAAAACACTAAATTATCTCTGAAGACATGATGTTCTGTTTTCTTTGAATAGGCTATTGCATTGTAAATACATAATGTATAGTTTAATTACCCTCGTTATGGCTTAAAATGACTTCCTGATAAAAAATAATGGCAAATGACACAATCCCTGATCACTAGTTTAACATTTTTAGAATGTAGAACTGAAGAAGGACAATTCCATGGCTTTATAAAGGCATTGTTGTAAATTGAATTTTTTGTTTTGTTAGTTGTCYAGCAAATGGAAGGAAAAGATTCTTGGACTTATTGTTGTGGAACCTTGCACAGCAACAGCGTCTTTCAAGGAATGGGGAGAAACCAAGGTAACAGCTGCATTATTTTAATATTCATGTGATAGAAAGAATAATGTTTATTTTGTAATGTTTGTGTTATTGGAATTTTATAATGCTATAACTTAGCTTTTATAATTTGTTCAGATTGAGTGCTGGCAGCTAAATTCAAAGGGCTTCACTGATGGGACAACYAAATACCTGAGATAYCATCATTTTGAAAGGGTATGTGCTTYGTCCATGGTRATTGACAGATATTTTTGTTWTCCTGCTGGATTTTGGTAATTTGTATTTTAGTATTGTGTCAAATTTGTGTTATATTCTTTAAAATTGCAACAGAAATCTGGAAAACCAAGCCAAGAACTTGAAAACAACTTTGTTGATGATATGAAAAAGAATATCAATCCACATAACCTTGCAGCTTTCCTCAAGTCTTACATGGAGTAAGTRAAATACTCCTTTTATTAATAATGTTGTTTCATAATAATTGTTATGTTAACGTTTCTGTTGAACTACAATCTGACCCAATGATAATTTGCTCTCAGGCGAATTGACATTATCAAGGAAGCCAAGACTTGTATCAAGGACAAGACTATCTCGTAAGTCAATATAAACATAGATCTGAAGATTGGTATTTTTTGTCATTTCGCTTCCTCTTCCTAAGTGTTTTTTATTCTGACTTATGTGTATGGTTATTACACAATGGCAGCTGAAATAAAAAGACTATGTTCATTTTCAGGACTACTGCATATATTATGGTTGTAACAGGAGAGCACTCCGTTCACAAGGAACTTTCGGTAAATTTCAAAAATACACTTGCACTAGAATGTTATATCATCCTTAGTGGGATGTCTTGTAGTGATACAAGATTAAAGTGATGGCAAGCACATAAATAATTTTTTATGTACTCCATATTAGGAGCAATTCTTCCATGCATTGAGTGAGTATGACAGAAAGAAGTACAGCATTCTCAAGCCTGACAGTGGTGCCAGTGTACTGGAGGAAAAGGTAAGTACTTGGCTAAAATAAACTTGATCTTCGGGATTTAACTCTGGTGTTTTGTATTTCAGCCTGACACAATGGCAGAAGGACTACTGCTCTTCATTCAAGGCCTTGGATTAGGTGAGTATGAAKTGCTTGTTTTATAAATAGAAAATCCAGGTCATAGAAAGGAACTAGTGATGTTATAAAAGGGAGAAACAAATCATTGATAGAGTGTAAAACATAGCTCAATGGTATTCCAACCGATTATTTTGCAGTGCCAACACTGAGGACTCGTTCCATGTCCAGGACAGGCTCCTTTGGATCAACAGGGAGATCAGCATCAATGTCTGAAGATTAAGATGACAAACCTGTATTTTCTCTGATATTTCTTGTGATTTTTGAAAAAAAGAACTGGAGGCCAGGTGGTTGATCAGTTTAGAACTGGGTGTATGCGTATTGTTTAATGATTTTTTGTATGAATTAGAATAAGTCTGAAAGGTTCTTGATGAATACAAAATGGACGTTTTTTATTCTGAGGATTTCACTACCATATCTGCCAGACCAGTTGCGTATCTTTTCAAGGAAAATTACTCTATATTATGAAAATACAATGAAACTGGCAACAAACTRTTTTCAAATGCTTTTTGTTATCTGAATGACATGTGAAATTTTGCAATTGTTGCAATAGTAGTTTTTCTGTATGTTTTCCATAGTTTTCCAAGTTTCATGGACTTCAGTTTACTTACTCCAAAAGTATTTACTTTTTATTATTTTCTTGTAGTCTTTATAAMGTTCAATATCCTATGGGTGACAAAGCAAATAATATCATTTCTTGGGTAAATGGGTTAACCTGGTAACTTAAGAATACATGTAGTTTTTGAGATTCATCTCGCTTACAAGTATTTTTGTAAATGTCATGTAGTAGTGATTGACTTGTTAGTTTTGTGGTCAATAGCTGTGAGTCATTACAAGATGAAGTCCATTTTCAATGTTGAATTTGTATTTTTGTGATGAATGTATGAGCAAGGTATCAATTAAATTTGAAATTTTTTATTGTTGATAATGCTTTTATTGTGTAGATATTTCCCCATGTGTTAGATTATTGCTTATAAGAGTTTCAGAATTATTATCTTTGTTCGTTTAAAGAGTGACCCAATTCATCAATTAGTTTAAAACTAACATGAATCTGATAGAATCCAAATATCATTTCATGGATAATAAAAAACAATTGTAATCTTGGAAATGTTTTACGTATTATGTAAAACTTCCTTTTAAATAATTAAGTACAGCACTGCCCTTCTTGATAAAATCATTTTTAATCAATATTTCTTTGCACAATAAATACCACAAATATATTAATTAAATTCTACCTAGCAAGTTTGTCTTAGAAAAATACTATTGTTTCTTGGGTTAACATCTGTTTCAAAACAGCATTATCCCTAGTGTTAATTTATGCCATATATAATTTCTAATTAATCATTATTTCATGTATGATAAACATCACCTCAGAGTCCCTAAAACATTCCTAACTTAACCATTGTTAATCTCTAAAACACCTACTGTTATTGTGCATTTACTGGTAATTCCAGTTTACAACCTGTTTTTGAGGAAATGCTCAGCCAAGGCAACAACGGGAGAGCCTGAAGGGATTCCTGGGAAGGGACCACTGCCTCCTGCTATGTCCATATGA